ACAAAAATCACGGTTTTGAGGTCACTTTTCGGTTCAGTTTGGGAACAAAAATGCAAAACCATTAAAACAACAATTAGTTTGAACATTATACAAACGGGAAAATAAAATAAATACAAAGTGCTGCTTGGTAAAACTAATAAGTTCAATAAAATATTCTCAAATAAGCAACAAATGTAAGAAATATTATAACAAATAAGTTCCTTGTAAACAACTTTTCAATAGTTCCAGCGTGAAGTTTCCGTGCTGGCGTATGGCGAGAGTGAGGAGCGCGACGACCGTAGTTTTTCGAGGATTCTCTCTCGTTAGGTGGCCGCTGTAACTATAAAGCGCTGAGGGAAACACTGCACCAATCACAGACAAGTTCCTCTGAAAATTTAAAGAGCCGAGCCTCCGAGGAGCTGCGCGTGTAGAGGACGAACGTAAACACAAACTGAGCAAATTCACTCGTACGCAGACCTGAATATTCTGTACCGAAATAGTTCTGCACGAAAACATGAACCGTCAGAGCCAAGCGTTTTTTGCGTCGGATCTGGCTGGACTGCAGGGTTCTAATTTTTAGCTTTGAAAATGAAATGTTTTGTTTGTGAGGGTAATAATTACATTTCAGAACAGAGGACACCTGACACACACGGGGAGGACACCTGACACACACGGGGAGGACACCTGACACACACGGGGAGGACACCTGACACACGAGGATGAGGGCACCTGACACACACAGGGATGAGGACACCTGACACACACAGGGATGAGGACACCTGACACACACAGGGATGAGGACACCTGACACACACAGGGATGAGGGCACCTGACACACACAGGGATGAGGGCACCTGACACACACGGCACCTGACACACACGACACACACGAGGAGGGCACCTGACACACATGAAACACCTGACACATACGACACCTGCCACACACGACACCTGACACACACGGGGAGGACACCGGACACACACGGGGAGGACACCTGACACACACGGGGAGGACACCTGACACACACGGGGAGGACACCTGACACACACGGGAGGACACCTGACACACACGGGGACACCTGACACATACGACACCTGACACACACGACACCTGACACACACGGGGAGGGCACCTGACACACACGGCACACACGACACCTGACACACACGACACCTGACACACACGGCACACACGACACCTGACACACACGGCACACACGACACCTGACACACACAACACCTGACACACACGGGAAGGGCACTTGACACACACATTGGGAGGGCACCTGACACACACACAAGGGGAGGGCACCTGACACACACGACACACAAGGGGAGGGCATCTGACACACACGACACACCTGACACACACGAGGGGAGGGGACCTGACACACACGAGGGGAGGGGACCTGACACACACGAGGGGAGGGGACCTGACACACACGAGGGGAGGGGACCTGACACACACGAGGGGAGGGACCTGACACACACGAGGGGAGGGGACCTGACACACACGAGGGGAGGGGACCTGACACACACGGGGGGAGGACACCTGACACACACGGGGGGAGGGGACCTGACACACACACGGGGGATCACCATGTCTCTCTCTCTCTCTCTCTCTCTCTCCTCCCCTCTTCCTCCATTCATTATTTTGCCCCCATGACATCACTGTTCGGTGCCGCGCTGCGATTGGCCGACGCCGCTGCTGACATCACACGTCTCCGGGCTGCTCCGGCTCTGCTCCGGCTCCGCTCCTCTCCCACACGCTCCCTCTCCCTCTCTCCCTCTCTCCATCTCTCCATCTCTCTCTCCGGTGAACACGCATTTCCAAAACCCGCGCCCCCGAAAAAAACGCCACAGGAATTAGAATTAAACGAGAAAAAAACGACAACGCCGGACTCTGGAATCCTGCTCCTCTTTCCCAACGCGCTTCCTTTGCGGTTTTTGCGTCCTCATTTTGCAATTCCTGCCCTTTTCCTCCCTAAAATCTGGAATAAAACTTGATGAAATTGCAGACTAGACTGGACACCGGTTTGGGATTTAACCTTTTTAGATTTTTTGTTGCTGCTTTTTACTCTAAACAACTAAATATATGGAAAGAAATTGCACTGGATTTGGATGCAGCCTCTTCTGACACCTGTCTATCCTTCCTAGTATGCTTCCTTGTTTTTTTTTTTTTTTTGCATCCTTACTTTTCAATTTCTACCTTTTCTCCCTAAAATGGCATTCTAGACTGGAAACTGGTTTGGGATCCAACCTCCTTTTTAAAATTTCTACATTTTCTAAACTAAATCTATGGAAAAATTGGACATGGACTTGGATGCAGGCTGTCTATCCTTCCTAGTATGCTTCCTTGGCTTTTTTTCACATCCTTACTTTTCAATTTCTACCTTTTCTCCCTAAAATCTGGAATAAAACTTGATAAAATTGCATTCTAGACTGGAAACCGGTTTGGGATTGTACCTCCTTTTAAAAAATTCCTACATTTTCTAAACTAAATCTATGGAAAAATTGGACTTGGACTTGGATGCAGCCCGTCTATCCTTCCTAGCACGCGTCCTTGTCTCCTAATTCTTCATCAAATCCTCCATTAAAACCAGAATTATTACATCACGTTGCATAATTTTACTGTCTCTCCCTTCTTTCTTTTTTTCTTATACTTATTACTACCATTTTATTACATTTTTAAAAATATTTTTGCATTAAATCATAGTTTTATATCTGTTTTTAATTTTTAAAAACATTTATCATATGTAAATGTATTCGTAGCTGTTTGAAATTGCGTCATTAAACACATGGCTCCTCGTTTAATTAATTCTTTATCAAATCCTACATTAAAACCTGAATTATAATTTTTTTTTATTTTCTGTCCATTGTTTTTTGGTTTATTATACTTATTTCAACTATTTTGATAATTTTTTTTTATATTTTTGTTTTAAATCTCACATTTTTCACATTTTAGTCGATGCTTTTTAACATTTTTTATATGTAAATTTATTCGTAGCTGTGTGAAATTGCATCATTAAACACTTCCTCGTCTCCTTTTTTAATTAATTCTTTGTCAAATCATTTATTGAAGCTTAATTTATGCTTTTTAACATTCTTCATATGTAAATTTATTCGTCGCTGTTTGTTGTTTGTTTTTATTTGCTTAAAATTAATGTTCAAGCATCATTTTTACATCACTATTTTTTATTTTCTCAACATTAACATAAGTCGTTCACATTTTTAACTTCTTTTTTGGAAATTGTACAAGTAGAAGTCTGTAATATATATATTTTTTTGTACATGGCGTCAGATTTTTTCTATAACGGCTGTGATGAAACTTCGGGAGGACATTTTGTTTTTGGTTTTTGAATAGTTTGTTTTAAAAAGAAAAGTGTTAAAAATGGAGAGAAGTGACGGGGAGGGCGTCGGGGTGAGGAGTCGAGACAAAATCCTCTGCTACATAAACATGAAAAGTCCAGGTAGGAATCTTCTGACCCTCCTCTGCTCCTCTCACTCTCTCCTCTGCTCCTCTGACCCTCTCCTCTGACCCTCTCCTCTGCTCCTCTGACCCTCTCCTCTGCTCCTCTGACCCTCTCCTCTCTGCTCCTCTGACCCTCTCCTCTGCTCCTCTGACCCTCTCCTCTGCTCTCTCACTCTCTCCTCTGCTCCTCTGACCCTCTCCTCTGCTCCTCTCACTCTCTCCTCTGCTCCTCTGACCCTCTCCTCTGACCCTCTCCTCTGCTCCTCTGCTCCTCTGACCCTCTCCTCTGCTCCTCTGACCCTCTCCTCTGCTCCTCTGACCCTGTGCTCCTCTGCTCCTCTGACCCTCTTCCTCTGCTCCTCTGACCCTCTCCTCTGCTCCTCTGCTCCTCTGACCCTCTGCTCCTCTGCTCCTCTGCTCCTCTGACCCTCTCCTCTGCTTCTCTGACCCTCTGATTCTGCGTTCAGACCGGAGCGTCCTGGTGTCCAGTTCACACTCAAAGTCCACGTGGACACACGACTAGGGCGTCTGGCGTTTTTGCGGCGTCTTGAGCGTTCAGGTGTCGACGCTCTAGACGTGCGTCCGGGGCGTTGGCGTCACAAGTTGAAAATGCTGAACTTTTGGCGTCGGACACACCGCGTGAACCAATCAGAGACGACTATCTAGTGATGTAGTAACGTTATTATCCAGTAGAAGAAGAAAGAGAGAGAGAAAGACCCAAGAACCACAAACACCAGAACAAAAAATCTACACTGAGTCATTATTGGAGTATAAATATAAACACACCAGAACCACCGAGCTGATCACCAAGACTGGACCAGGACTGGACCAGGACTGGACCAGGACTGGACCAGGACTGGACCAGGACTGGACCAGGACTGGACCAGGACTGGACCAGGGCACGACCAGGACTGGACCAGGGCACGACCAGGACTGGACCAGGACTGGACCAGGACTGGACCAGGACTGGACCAGGACTGGACCAGGACTGGACCAGTGGACCATGGACCAGTGGAACACAGTGGACTGGTCTGACATTGATCTGGGAAAAAACCAGGGCTGGGCACTTGTTTCCACGGCAACAGACGCCCACGTCGGGGGCATCTGGACTCAAATGCAAAGGCTCCAACTATAGAGGAGTACAGCTCGTGACTTTTGATGCTCTGGCCTGAACGCACTTTGACCGTCTGACCTTCTGCTCCTTTTTCCTTCCAGGTCATAGTTGATGTCTCTTGTGTGTTGGATTGACAGGGGTCTTGACGCTTTTTTTAAATTTATTTTTTATTTTATTTAGAATAATAATAATTGTGGCATAGTTTTAGTTCAGAGCAAAAAGGTTGTTAGTTTGATTCCCAGACCGTTTGAGTTCTGGTCGTTGTTGTTTGCATGTTCTCTCTATGTCTGTGGGAGGGTTTTCCACAGTCAACCAAAGACCCAGACACTCTGAAGGACGGGTCAAACGCAGAGCACACTCTTAGCTCTCTTGTTCAGCTTTGTGTGCTTTATATTTCTCTTAAATGTAAAAAATATGTTTGTTTTTTTGTTTCAGCGCTGCCTCCCAAACCTCAGAAGCCGTCGACTCCGGCCGCCTCCAGCTTCAACAACAGCATCTCCCTGCAGGACGCCGAGTGGTACTGGGGCGACATCTCCAGGTAACGTGAGCTCAGGAGGAGGAATGTTCACTCAGAGGGTCAGGAGCGAGTCCAGACCCTCACACACGGGGTTCAGGAGCAAGTCCAGACCCTCAGCCCGGGTTTAGTCCCTCTGCTCAAACTGCTTTAAACACCTGAGTAAAATTCTGTTGCAGATCTTTGAGTGTGTGGAGCGGCATGTGTGTAGTACAGTGACGGCAGATGGAGCTCTTACGGGGTACAAAGAACAAATAACAGCTTGATGATCACCTGATAACATCACGCTGTGGGGCCAAGTGTATTGAGCTCTCAAAAGGGTCTTTACAGTCCTGATCGTGAGATGTGCGGCTCTGGGTGACTGAAATAATAAAAAGAAATCATAAAAATATCAGTAATGCACTTGGGAACTTTCTTTCTGGAGATGGATCTGTTTTTTTCATTGTGGAGGCCAAATACTGAACAGAGGAGTTTAGTGAGTGTGAGCTCCCACATGTGAAGGTGATGATGTCCAGACTGTGTGTTATAATTATATATCTATATTTATATTTATGTTCTGATTGTGTGTTACAGGGAGGAGGTGAACGAGAAGCTCCGGGACACGGCCGACGGGACATTTCTGGTGAGAGACGCCTCCACGAAGATGCACGGAGACTACACCCTCACACTCAGGTGAGTCCTGCACCCTCACACCCTCACACCCTCACACCCTCACGCTCAGGTGAGTCCTACACCCTCACGCTCAGGTGAGTCCTACACACTCAGACCATAGACTGGGGTCTAAACACGGCCACCCACTCAAGTCCCGGGGCCGAGCTGAATGTCTCATGTCTCCAGATTTGCCTTTAGTAGCGAGGTACTTGTTGTGGCTCTGGTCATTGAGCATGTGCAGTAGTGTCTTCTCCCGCTGTACACACCAACGCCTGTGAGTGTGCACAAGGAGCGCGGTCTCATGTATCATGTGATCAGAGCGAGAGGAGCTGGAGCAGAGCAGGAACTAATGATTAAAAAGCTGTTTTTAAGACAACTGAAGAAGTTTGAGCTGAGAACAATTTTATGATCTGAAAATAGGTAAAAATCACAATATCTGACCTTTTTTAAAGTCGTAGGTGCCCTGTCAGTCCCTGTCAGTTTGTGATTACATTGGGCTGTATGGGAGAAACCCTTTTTGGGCAGGAGGGATTTTATCGCTGTAGTTCAGTGAGTGTCCACTTTGCCCATGGGAAACGGATACAAACAGCAACACCCTCTAGTTATTTTAATAGATCCATGATATAAATGAACATGGGTAACGCCGCCGTGTTCCAAACAGGAAGTTCTCATGTGGCTCTTTCGGCTCCTACTAACTCTGGCTCCTATTGACTTACATTAGGATCTTGTGGCTCGTCTCTCTGGACCTGCTGCTGTGAGCCTCAGTGTTCTGATCTTAAAATGTTCGTATTAACCCGCGACACATGATTCTGGATTTTTAAAATTTTTTTTTTTCACTATTTTGTCCGTCAAAAAAAATCCTATTCCTCATATAGAACCTGGCTCCAAATTCACTCCTGTCACTAGGGCTGGGATCATTAAGACGTTGACGATACAACACAGACACAGATACACAAACCACGATACGACACATCTCCATACAGATAACTTTATTTTTTTTAGGTGTTTTTTTGTAGTTTTATTTATTTAAAAGGGACAATACATATTCATGAACATATACTTGTAAATACGCCAGAATTAGCCCAAAGGCGACTTTTCATCTGCAGTCCCTGGCAGGTCAGAGAGACAGAGACATAAGACACGTTACACAATACACAAACAGAAACAGACAATAAGACACAATCATGACATACAGCACTGACATTTACATAGAAGCATATGATATGATATATTTCAAATCAATTTGATACGGTTCAATAAAAATAAATCATGTTTGTGACACTAAAAGTTTTTGTTAAATCACTTCTTGTTCATATGAAACACAAACATTTAAATCGTCAAAACAGTGAAAATGTCAAATGTGTCACATAAATGAGTTTCCTTCCTCTGAACAAACAACAAAACTGGAGCTGGAACTAAAACATTTAATAAAATAAACCAAAAAATCCTCTTGGTGATATATTGATACAGCAGCCAACGATATTGATCCTGTGTAATCACATTAAACGATACGATATATCGATATTTAGATAATTTTTGCACACTTCTACCTGTAACCGTGAGCGTCGTGAGCTTCATCTGAGTGGAGCTGAACCCTGTGGTGACGTCACACTCCCTCAGAACACTTTTCTACACAGTCTATGACTCACAGCGAACACTGCAGTGTTTTAGACACACGAACAATGGAGTAGAACTGAAAATGATTTAAATGGATTTGAAAATAAGTAAAAGTCCATCCTGGTTTAAGTGCGTGTATGTTTCTGTATGTTTCTGTATGTTTGTTTGTGTGTGTGAGATTTCTCTGTGATTTTGTGCTAAACTGTTGGGTCTGGTCAAGTGTTAACGGAGGGAAACGGGCAGATTTTTGACATTCAAATGTCTCTTATTCAGAAACTAGAGGAACTATTGAAATAAGTAAAGTATCAGAATGTAGGAAAGAGTTACACTCCAACAGGGTCAAGTTAAACCTGTGATATTCTTTCAAGTTCAAGACAAAAAATAAAAAAAATTCATGTCGGTAACGGAGGGAATGAAATATGCAGCACTTTTTGGGCAATAAATCCAAACAGTGATAACTCTTGGTTCTCACTTACATATCCTTAACAAACTGGTTTGAATATTTGCTTCATATAGTTTTCTACCATATGGTACAAGATTAGGTTGAAAAACCTCTGACTTTTTGACTCATGAGATTTTTTATTAAGAAAGGTCATGGTAACTGAGGGAAAAGTAACGGAGGGAAAATTGTACAAACAAGTAGAAGGTGCAGGATTTTACATCATTTGTCATTTTTTTTTCTTCCAAATACTTTAATATTACTTCAAAATGAAAGAAACTATTTCTATAAAATATGTCAGTCCTTCCAAGCAAATTTGTATCATTTTAAATAAAGTATTTTTTTTTAATCCTGTACCTTCATCAACAGTTCAAAGATGGAATAACACAAGATATGATGAAATACATCCATTTGTTTACATGATTTTCAGGTCTTTGAAATTTGGGAAATAATTTTTGTTCCATGTTTCATACATGGTCTGTTTAAAACGGATGGAACTTTAGAACCAAAAATGGTACAGAAAAAAGGTCAACAGTTTGATAAACTAGAGTACATATGTATCTGTTCAATACATTTTTATATCAGATGGATTTACTTGAATTTTTGGCCTTGTTGTTTACTTCTGCTTGACCGGGGCCTGTTACATTTGAAAGCACCTGCAGATGTTTCTCCTCATTGTTTCTTTATTTCCTTTATTTTCGGAGCTGTTGAAATCAGACTTCAACAAAAGCTGCTTGTGAATAGATGAGGCAACAGAAACCAAAAAAGGAGCCGGTTTAGTGGAGCTTAAACTCGGCTAATCGCTTAAACCAACAATAGTGATTATTCAGGTCTCACAGTAGGTCCAGGCTTCAGTTATCAAATCCTGATGTTTCTTTTTCACAACAATTTTAACATTTTACCTGCTGACGTCTCTCCAAACATGTGAGACTTTCAGATTGATGCATTTTTATGTAAGTTTGACAGAAATTTTAGGTCTTAATCACAGAACAGTGAGATGTTAGTGAGGCTACAGTGGTGGAAATGCTCAGATTTGGTCAAAATAATGAATCCCTGGCTTTATTTCCTCTGCCCACAGGAAAGGAGGCAACAACAAGCTGATAAAGATCTTCCATCGTGAGGGAAAGTACGGCTTCTCGGACCCCCTGACCTTCAGCTCCGTGGTCGAGCTCATAAACCACTACAGACACGAGTCTCTGGCCCAGTACAACCCCAAACTCGACGTCAAGCTGCTCTACCCCGTGTCCAAGCACCAGCAGGTCAGTGCGCCTCACTGTAACAGGGTCAAACAGTGACGGGGTCCAACGGGGTCCCCACAGTAACAAGGTCCTCAGAGTAACAGGGTCCAACAGAGTTAATCCTTCTCATCAAATCTGATTTATAATTTTAAAGTGATTGTAATTTGAAGGACAAAACATTAAATAATAAATAAAATCTGGAGTTTTCAAAGGACAAGCACAAAAATGAGACAAACTGAATCAGATCTGAAGGAGCCGCAAGAAACACAAAAGTTCAAATCATTTCATATTGTCACATAAAAGTTTTTGTCACTTTAGGACACTTTCACACCTTTAGTTGGATTATTTGGTCCACACCAGGCAGTAAAACAGTTCTTCTGTATCATCTAGACTCCGGTGTTTTCCTTTCACACCTGCAAACCAAACAAAACTGGTCCCATTGTCGTATTTCCAAGGCTCCTGCGCACAGCGAGTTCCAAAGCACGTGACTCGGAGACGCCAAAGCTCTCCCGCGTGACAGACCTCTGGGAAGCGAGTTTGAGGCTCAGCGTCTCACCCGGTGGTCGTCCTGCAAAGACTCTCCTCACCTCGGTTTCTTGAACCCCGCCTGAGATCCTGCCTGGCCCGGGGAGCTCACACTTGCAGGGCAGGCGTCCAGACCCGACCCTGACCCCCACCACTCCCCTAAACCGGGGCGTGCCCACCAGCCGGCCCACTGCGCGCAAGGAAATAATTAGTCATCCCTCCCATGATGCTTTGGGAACAGTTGGTTTGGATCTACTGTCTCTGGTTTGGACCTGAGTTGGCGTCTCACCAGAGGCCCTGACCAGAGTTTGGCATTTGGTATGGAGACAAACGGACTGAGACCACCACTTTTCTGAGGTCTTAGTCCACTTGATTTAGTGCGGGTCCGAGTGTGACTGAAGCTTTCACACCAACAAAAACCAACATAACTAAGAGCTTCTGGATCTAATGGATCGTTTGATGCACCAACTGCCGTCGACCTGAGACTCACACACTGAGGGAAGAGGAAGCACAATCTTTACTCAAGTGTAGTAAAAGAAACTACAAAAAAGTATAATTTGCTCAGAAACTTCCTCAAAAAGAAGTGACTGAGCCGCACCCTGTTCTGGTTTGACTGCTGATGTGAGTGGAACGTGTGTGTGTTCTCCCTGTGACTGTGGCAGAGTGGTTAGCCTTTGTCTCGTGTGTGTGCGTTGTTGTGTCTCACGTGTGCGTTGTTGTGTTGTTTCAGGACCAGGTGGTGAAGGAGGACAGTATCGAGGCTGTAGGGAAAAAGCTTCACGAGTATCACCTCCAGTATCAGGAGAAGAACCGAGAGTACGACCGACTCTACGAGGAGTACACCAGAACCTCACAGGTAACACACACACACATGAACACACTTAAAAACAGGTAACACACACACAGATACTAGAGATGCGCGGATTCGGGCGGATGACGTGACGAAAAATATTTAAATTTAATTTGAGCGGGTGGCGGTTATATATTTATATAGCCTATATTGTTAAGTTACCTCCATCTGAAAAAACGAGTGTCATTGTTCAGTCTGTGCTTGTTGTATGAACAGAAGTGGCTATAGGGCCATATTTATTTAGTTAGACATATTTTTTTCTTGCCTATTTCATTTGGAACATCAAGTGGGCATTGCCTGATTTCAATAAAGGTTCATCTGGATGAGATGATGTGTGTATTTATTTTCGATATCAGTTATATTTTAAAACACGCAGACATTATAGCGTAGGCTGCCACTCGGGGTATTTAAAACTTAAGGAAACACCGATGGAGTGAGGCTATGACTTTGAAATAACATCGGGCGATGGCAGAATGTTCAGAATGTAACAACATCCAACACGAAGGCAAGAAGCTTCAAAAATAGTCGGAAAACGCTGTCAATTAACTGCGCAAGAAAACCAGGCAAGTTTGGGGTTTTTACGGACAATTAAGAAGCCAATGATGTTCATTATGTCTTCTTATATACTTCTTTAAAAAGAACCTAAGAAGTTAAAGACAATTAAGAATGTGAACATGCACGGTGAGCGAATTTTGGAATGAATGAGCTATTATCGAGTTTGCGTTTTTATCGATGCTCCTTAGTTTGTTTGCCGTATGATTGTTCTAAAATCAGTGGGCGGACGGCGGGCGAGTGCGGTTTGGAAAATTGGTCAAAACATTGGGTGCAAATGAACGGTGGGCAAATGATGAGTTTTGTGTCGCGGTTGCGGATGAAAAAAAAACACCAAACAAGTAACACACACATGCACATACGCACACACTCCAAACGTTTATTTTAAAGCTCCCACTTGTTAGTTTCACATTTCTTTACCGGTCGATGTCAGATATGAAACCTGGCCCCTCTCTCCTCTTTCCTCAGTGTGTTGTGATAGCGCTCTGAAGGGGGAGTGACTTAACATGAGGAGCAAAGGGAGAGGGGACTTAATACAGCGTCAAAAACTGAACTGAACTTTATAAAACATGTGAATCTGTTGTTTTGGGTGAATATAAAACAGTAAAAGGAACACGTTGATCTAAATAGTGAAAAAAATCCCCTGCTTCTTTTAAGACATTTCGAAAAACTTCCAAAATCTCTACTACTACTACGACTTGTACCTCTATGGTGGAATCTTCAGCGGTTACCATGGAGACACAAAGCACAGATTGGCAAATGCTGTCAAATAAGTTTTAAGATTGTCTGAAAACTCAAGAGAACAGATTTAAAGAGCACGTTTTCAGGAGCGTGTGATCAGTCCGAGCGTTCGTGATCCTGTTTGGCTAACTTTTTGACAAAGCCTCAGACAGAGCAGTGCCTACAGTTAGCGTCACAGCCCCCAGGTAAACGTTAATCACATCAGCTGCGAGGTATCAACTGGCTGAAACCTGAAGCAGGGATTGAAGCTGTAACCCGGTGCTGTGGACTCTCGTTCTCGTGTGTTTGTCTCTCGTTTCTTGACTGTGTTGACTCTTCTGGCGTTTGGATCGTAGGAGATCCAGATGAAGCGCACGGCCATCGACGCTTTCAACGAGACCATCAAGATCTTCGAGGAGCAGTGTCAGACGCAGGAGCGCTTCAGCAAAGAGTACATCGAGAAGTTCAGACGCGAAGGCAACGACAAAGAGATCCAGAGGTACGAGCCAAAGAGAAAGAGCACGTTTACACACTTTTCTGTCTCTGTGTTAAACTTCTCCTACACACAGTAACACAGGCCTGGGGTTAGTGTCAGTGAAGAATACCTTAAATTATTTATTTATTTATTTCAGTCACAGGTATTTTTTGACATTAATTCACAGACAGTCATATTTAACAAACACAGACCGAAAAGGTGGAGGCTGAAGCTTGAGCTTATTATGCCCTTTACCCTTTATTCCTTTGTCAGAGCAACAACCAGCGACAATCTGATATTGTCGTATTTTAGTTATGGGATTGGGATTACTGCCCATCGCCTTCACCTTTCACTATTTTTCAATTCCGTTGGGAAGAGAAACAGTTTGAACGGAGGTTTGAGTCACACACATCTGATTCACTTTTGCATTTATGGAGTTCGCAAACAAATTTCTTGAGTTGTTTTCCGCTGTTAGGATCCAACAACCACACAATTAACGATGTCCGAATCCCAAAACTAAAATATGACAATATCCGAACTAGAAACAAAAGTGATATGGTTCAAAAGACTTGAAAAGATCGACTTTGACAATAGACTCATCCCACTGGGAAAACAAACATGGAGGTTTGATGCTCACTTTTACGGAAAATCCTTCCCAGTGTGGATTGTGCAATGACCAGAAGTCCAAGATTCTTAATGCATCTATTGTCTGCAAATACATGAAACATGATGAGGTGACTGGGTGTGAAAATGATAATAGAAAAATAATATAGTTTTTTCAGTAGATCAGTAGTGAGCTCCAGTTGGTACTGATCAAAATGAGCCACACAGAACAGGCCTGTGTTCTGTTTCTCTGTGCTTCTGTGATGAACTTGAGACACAGCGACACATTTGAACCTCGCGCTCTTCGCTCGGAGCCGCCTCAGAGCTCCAGACACGAGCTGCACCAGATGACACAGCAGATGCATCAGTCACGTGACTTTTGTTCAAGTGAAACACACAGACAGAGCTCCACAGGCGTCACTCGCTGAGCTCCACACAAGTATCAATGCTCCGACTCATTTGTCCCGTCACTAGATTTAGTCTAACCCACTCTGAGCCTCTGATGGGTCAGATCTGCATGTTTCTGACATCACAGGGGGGACGGGATTATTCAAGACGTCATTTTGGCATTTCACACCAATGAACACAGCGAACAACAACACGACGCCCGATCTGTTTTACTTTCATGAGTGTTTCCCGTAGATTTAGTTCAGACTAAAGTGGTACAAATACTTTCTATTAGGGATGGGCATGATTAGTCGATTAACCGATAATTGATCATTAAGAAGTTAATCGATTACGTTCATTTTTAATCGACAAACCGAATGTAGGTCGCTGTGTGTAGTGTTGGGCGGCCAAATGTCCGTGTCCGGAGACAAACAGGTGTGTACATGTGTCTCTGCATCAGAAGGAGGAAAACACAAACAGTGGGTCAGTCTGCAACACGCTGAAGCACAAATGTGGATTTAACGATGATTTGTACAAGAAAAGTGTGAGTCCATGTGCACAGTGTGTAAAGCAGCACATATGTGTCAGTGTCCAGTGAGAAAAAGTTCACCAGGACACAGAAAAACATGAAAGTTTTTCCAGGTGAGAGTCGCTCAATGTGGATGACGAGGCCCCGCCCCCCTCCCCCCGTACGCTGTCCTGGTTTTGACAAACACAAATCTGGTCACACTGACCTGTATTCACCTGAGTCATGTCTTTTAATCCAACACAAGTTGAACCACATCAGCGACACAAGAGCTGGAGTTTTATCTTCACTTAGTTTATGTAAATTAGTGATGTGGTTTTAAGTTTTGTTTCTGTGAGATTTGAACAAAACTGAATTAAACACATTATAATGTCAAACAGCTGATGTGGATCTAGAGTCGTTATGTTTATATGTCGTAAAGTTGAATTTATTTATGCAGATTAGTGCAGATAGAAATAATAATTATCATTTTAATATAAAAACATTAATGATTAATCGATAATTGATCGTTATTTCTTCCGACGATCGATAAAGAAAATTTAATTGAATGCCCATCCCTACTTTCTATATTAATGATTTTCTTTCATACAATTTGTGCATCTTCAATTTTTATCTGTATGTCATATTTAAGTCTTTTTGAACAGTGAAGTTACTTTTTATGTTAATGACAACACAAGGAGCAACACAGTGAGATTTTGTTACACTAAAATCTAGACTCTGGAGGAGAATTTTAGACTGTGGAGGCTCCACAGTTTTTTCTGTTTGAGAATCTCTGCTCTTCTGTCTCTGTATGAAATGTCATCAGTGTTTGTAATGACGTTTAACACCGGACTGAGTGAGACCGAGATAAAACAAACTCAAACGCCTCCTGCTGTTCAGCTGCAGAAATGACACTGGTGGATTTAAACAAGAGCAAAGAGGAAGTGCACGACTGAAGTTACCTCTTTATAACGCACTTCAATGAACTTGATCCTGATCTGGCTCCAAGATAAATCTGATATAAATCCTTAAATATCAAATTTGCATGAGATTTTTAGATTAGAACAGTGTAGGAAACCAAAATAATAATGATAAAAAGTCACCATTTTGCTTTGCAGGAAAGGAAAAAGCTGCATTTTAGTTCAGTTTTCTTCACGCTGTGCTTCTGTTAAATGTGTTTCAGGATCATGGAAAACTACGACAAGCTGAAGTCTCGTATCTCTGAGATCGTGGACAGTAAACGCCACCTGGAGGTCGACCTGAAGAAGCAAGCGGCGGATTACAGAGAGATCGACAAAAAGATGAACAGCATCAAACCCGATCTGATCCAGCTGAGGAAGACCAGAGACCAGTACCTCATGTGAGTCGCACTTTAACCAGACTGGTACCTCACACTTTAACCCGACCGGTACCTCACACTTTAACCAGACCGGTACCTCACACTTTAACCAGACCGGTACCTCATGTGAGTCACACTTTAACCCGACTGGTACCTCACACTTTAACCAGACCGGTGCCTCATGTAAATCTCGTTCAAGTGTTAAGCAGAATATTTAAATTAAAAACTGTAAAGTGCAACAGTCCAAGTGCAGTTACATGGAGCTGCCACATGGGGACCCAAACACCAGTTATTACAGACCTGAGCGTCGTGCAGCTCCGGGGCCACATACGGCTCTTTGTTTGACTCTGATCAGCCTGTTTAAGGTCTAGGTTTAGAATTACAAAATAAACATATTTTATAATTGTACCTCATACATAGACTAAAGCTGCATTGCTTTTATTTTAGAGGTGTTTTTTAAATTACATACAACCTCACAAAACAATGCTATTTACTGCTTTTTATAAAGAAATACAAGCAATATTATATAGAATTTAGTTCAGCATTTTGGCCTCAACAATATTTAGTGTCTTGTGTGGCCTCTTGAAATAAGAACTGCCCCCTCCTGAGTTAGTCAGAGACCGAGAAGTCAAAGCTCATTTAAACTCTGGACCTTCGGGATTCAGATGATTTTACAGCTGGTCATTTTAAACACTGAGAAAATTTTAATTATATATTTAATTTTCTGGGCAGAGAAACTGAAAACCTGTTTTTGTTTTTTCACCTTTCTCTTTAGTCCCTGCACAGTCTGAACAGCTTTTACGTTTTCCTTATTTAACTCTTTAAATGTGTTTGTATAAAATGTGTTTTGTGTTTTAAAATGTGTGTTTTGTGTTTTTCAGGTGGCTGACACAGAAAGGAGTCCGACAGAGGAAACTCAACGAATGGCTGGGACTAAAGAACGAGACCACAGAGGAGTGAGTACAGCCCCTTCTACTCTTATTACTCTCATTACTCTTATTACTCTCATTACTCTCATTACTCTTATTACTCTCATTACTCTATTACTCTAATTACTATTACTCTATTACTCTTATTACTCTCATTACTCTCATTACTCTATTACTCTCATTACTCTCATTACTCTCATTACTCTCATTACTCTCATTACTCTTATTACTCTCATTACTCTTATTACTCTCATTACTCTCATTACTCTCATTACTCTTATTACTCTCATTACTCTCATTACTCTTATTACTCTCATTACTCTCATTACTCTTATTACTCTCATTACTCTCATTACTCTCATTACTCTCATTACTCTTATTACTCTTATTACTCTCATTACTCTCATTACTCTCATTACTCTCATTACTCTCATTACTCTCATTACTCTCATTACTCTCATTACTGCCACTGTGCCCTTGGGCAAACACTGTTTTTACACAATGAAAACAAAACAGAATAAATTAGATTTCTCTTTGAACATACAGTTTGTTTTTATCACTCTTAATGAGGAGCCTTAAGTGTTTAATTGAATTGAAAATCAGTTTTATAATATTTTTTATAAAGTATGAGTTTGCTTCTTTAATGTAAAACTGAAGTCATATCTTTTGTTGGCACATATGTATTTATGCATGTATTCCAAAATTATAACTTGTCATTTCAGTATAAAAATACACAGAACTACTGTACTCAGGTTCAGATTTTCGGCAGCATCAAAAACAGCATCATAAACGGATCCAAATGTTCTGTTGATGTAAAATCAGTGCAGGTTAAGTTGATTTAAGAGCGTCTGTCTGTGCGTTAGTGTCAAGTCTTTATGACAGATTTCTGATTTGATGATTTTGAAGTTTGAGTTTTGATCCCAGACTCTTAAGAGAATGAATGTATTTGTATTTTTGCACATATATGTAAGAGGAAAATAATGAAAATCTGCAAAATCTTATATCAAAAACGTGCCTGAAGAAGTTTTAGATTTCACTCATGTGTGTTTAAAATAATCTAACCGATCTAACATTTTCAGTACAATAAAAAGATAACATGGTGATGTAAATATGTGAAGTGTACCGTATTTTCCAGGTCATTAGACACGCTCTCAGGCCTCTAACCGCATCAAAAAATGGCCGTGCCCCGCAATGCAGAGCGCCCTATACACAAATCCACTCTGGTGTCCCAGCGCGACTTCAGTAAACTGCAAACACACACCACCCGCAGCACACGCCAACACACACGGAGCAGACAGCGACCGCACGGCGAAACACACCCACAGACACACTCATCACTCCACACCGACGAGGAACGGAACAGAGGAATGAACTGAAAAAGTGAGCGCAATGTGCCACTTCTAGACACGACTGAACAACTGAGTCACTGCGAACACGCCGACAATCCGTTGGTCCCAGACACACCCTCCCTACACGCCACAACTGACCAAAGCCCAGAGTCACCGTGAAGGAACAAACAAACAAAACCACTCACCCATCACACTGTTGGGTTTCCTTTAAAGTCCCACGCGGTTTATTTGCAAAAAAGGTTTGAAAATAGACCATTTAATGACAGTGAGACTTATAATCCAGAGCGACTAATAGTGCGGAAAATACGGTAACCTCATAGAAGTGTAATCTCCTCTCTGTAACTGAGGTTCTGACCCGTGTTGTGTCCTCAGTGAGTTCAGTTTGTGTGTTTGAGGTTCTGACCCGTGTTCTGACCCGTGTTGTGTCCTCTCCTCAGTGAGTACAGTCTGGTGGAGGACGAGGAGGACCTGCCTCATCACGACGAGCGTCTGTGGCGTTTGGGAAACATAAACCGGACTCAGGCCGAGTCTCTGCTCCGGGGAAAAAGAGACGGGACTTTCCTGGTCCGGGAGAGCTCCAAACCGGGCTGCTACGCCTGCTCCGTCGTGTACGTCCACAACACTTTCAAACACTTTGACACGTTTAACTCAGAGTTCATGTTGGAGGAGTTTTCTGAATCTTTCTCTGGTGTTTTTACAAACTCCAACAGGAAACACACAAGTTTTTATTTATTTTCATTTGTAGTTTTATTTAAAAAAGCTGGAGTCATTATAAACAGAGACAAACAGCAGTCAAATCTCAACCCGGTTTAGTCCTGGTTTAGTCCTGCCTTAGTCTTGGCCTTAGTCTTGGCCTTAGTCTTGGCCTTAGTCCTGGCCTTAGTCCTGGCTTAGTCTTGGTTTAGTCTTGGTTTAGTCCTGGTTTAGTCTTGGTTTAGTCTTGGTTTAGTCCTGGTTTAGTCCTGGTTTAGTCTTGGTTTAGTCCTGGTTTAGTCCTGGTTTAGTCTTGGTTTAGTCTCGTCTTAGTCCCGGTTTAGTCTTGGCTGTACTCTTGTCTTAGTCCCGTTTTAGTCCTGTTTTAGTCTTGGCTTAGTCCTGGGTTTAGTCTCGGATTAGTCTAGTTTTAGTCTCGTTTTAGTCTCGTTTTAGTCCTGGTTTAGTCCTGGTTTAGACCTGGTTTAGTCTCGTTTTAGTACTGTTTTAGTCTTGGCTTAGTCCTGGGTTTAGTCTTGGTTTAGTCCTGTCCATCTCAGTCTACCACCACAGTGATACAGTATATAGTGATGCAGTATATTAGAGTACTGTATATTAGAGTACTGTGTATTAGAGTACTGTATATTAGAGTACTGTATATTAGAGTACTGTATATTAGAGTACTGTATATTAGAGTAGAGTGTATTGGGAGGGCATCTGACTCATGTTGTGGTGTGTTTTTGGTGTGTGTTTCTTCAGGGTGGACGGGGAGGTGAAACACTGCGTCATCAACAAAACGAGCAGCGGTTTTGGATTCGCGGAGCCGTACAATCTGTACTCGTCTCTGAAGGAGCTGGTCCTGCACTACCAGCACACGTCTCTGGTCCAACACAACGACTCGCTCAACGTCACGCTGGCCTTCCCCGTCTACAGCCAGCAGCGCCGGTGACCCCCGCGCCCCGACACCGACCCGGACCCGGACCCAGACCCGGCAGGCGCAGATCCAGACCCAGAACGCCCAAGCACCGACCCGCACCCGGCACGCCCAAACACGCCCAAACACGGACCCGGCACGCCCAAACACGGACCCGGCACGCCCAAACACGGACCCGGCACACCCAAATGCGCACACACACAGACCCAGCACGCCCACACATGGACCCGGTACGCCCAAACACACCCACACACAGACCCAGCACACCCATACACAGACCCGGCACACCCAGGCACGCCCAAACACGCCCAAACATGCCCACACACAGACCCGGCACACCCATACACAGACCCAGCACGCCCAAACACGCCCACACACGGACCCGGCACGTCCAAATATGGACAATGCAGGTGATTGCAACGCCAGAACACGCCCAAATATGGACAAAACACTCCATATATGTAAAAAACACACCATATATGGACTGAATTTGCCCAAATATGGAGAAGTCAGGAGATCCCAACACCCATATACGCCCAAATATGGAAAACACATGCCCAAATATGGACAGCACACTCCATATATGGACTGATACGCCCAAATATGGACAGTTCAGACATGTACAAGCGCAGAACTGTACCATTCAGAGCCATATATGGACTGAACACACTCTACTATGGACAGGACGCGCCCAAATATGGACAGAGGAAGCTTATATTTAAATTTCTCACCGATCAATAACACTTCATCACCTCTGCAACACTTGTACAGATTTTTGGACTCAGACACGTCGGATTAAATGCGCTTTGCAAAGGTGAACGAGAGTCGAGTTGAGCTGCGCTTTTAAACGGACGATTCAGACGAGACGGGTCGTTCGTTTACTCGTCCGACGCGATATTTTAAGCTTTGAAACATTTTGACGTTTGTTAAGTTAAGACGATGTGCGGAGAAGAAGTGGTTTTCCCCTCATTTCTGTTCGTACAAAACACTGAAGCGGGACTAAAAACGACAGCGAAGGCGGAGAGTTACGGACTGTGCTGAAGGACTACTTCCTGTGTTACCACATGATGACATCACGAGGTGTAACGGCGCGTTTTCTGTTAAGAGATGAACCCTAAATGTGCAGGGTTTGTGCGTTAGAACATGTGTGAACGAAGCAAAACACGAGAAAATGGTGTAAAAATGAGCTCTTTAAAACTCTTTTTCTCTTTTCGGTTTGGTTCATCCCTCTGTGCCGCAGCTGCCCCGGGGCGGACCGACGCAGACCTGGCTGCCGCTCTCCACAATAACGCACCCGAACAGACCGCGGCGTTGACGTTTCTTGCCCGAGGACACAAGAACATCAACGACTCGGAGCTGTTACAACAAACGTTCACGTAACAGGACTTTGCTTTACCTTGTGTATTAAGTTAAATCAAGATTCTGTGAAAAAAAAAAAACGAATTTGTTCCTCTAAACTTCACTTTTTGTTCACGTCTCATCGAGTTTGAACCTCGGCGTCGGAAAACCGGAGAACTCGAAACCGAAACGCTGGATTTCTGGACTTTTTAAAGACTTTTGAGACAAGACTTCGGCTCGTTACAGGAAATAAAACGTTGAACTTTTTAAGGAAAGAAAAACACTGTGACTCAAAACCAAAAGGATGAACGTGAGCGGCCGATTCTGAAACGAAACGATTCTCCAGATATCACTTTTTTTTTTTTTTTTCGCAGCATGTTTGAACTTTTGTTTTAATTTAACACAACAACACATTTTCACCTCAAGATTCACAAACGTACGGAACGATTACAGACTTTTTCTGGATGTTGGACTTGAAACGTGACTGAACTTAAGATGGATTTGGTTCGAAATTTCATCTGAAATTGTACATTTTTTGTTCAAATTGAGTGAATCACCTCCAGCGGATTGAAAATAAAATAACGTTTGTTCGTCGTAAAAAGCTGAACCACAATTAGAACAAGAGTTAAACGAAGAATTTGAAGGATGTGTTGGATTTTGAGTTTAAATTTAATAAACGTGTGACCTCTGTGTCTCCAAACAAATTCAAATCAAATTCACTTTTTACTGGAAACTAACTTTGATGTTAAGTTACGGTTTAAACATTGGACATGATGATGTTGGTTCTAATTTGGTGTTTTGTTTCTGGAGAATTCGTGTGTTATTCGTTTTTCAATATAAAACCAAAAATAAGAAAATGAAAAAAACAGATGAATGATTCATTTTTTAAGTTTTCGATTTTGTGTTTAATGAAAAATGGAAAAAACTGATAACGACCGTTTCCTGTTTACATGACTTCTGTGGCTGTGATGTCAGACTGAACCAGGACTGATCCAGGTCCGGGACCAGAGCGGGACCAGAGCGGGACCAGAGCGGACTCCGAGCCTCAGCTTCAAGCTCCGGCCGGGGACCCTGAGCCTCCGGTCTGGTCCTGGCCTGGTCTCGGTCTGGTCTTGGTCTCAGTCCCGGTCTCAGTCCCGGTCTCAGTCCCGGCCTCAGTCCCGGCCTGGTCTCTGTCTCAGTCCCATCCTCAGTCCTGGCCTCAGTCTGGTCTGGTCCTGGTCTCAGTCCTGGTCTGGTCCCGGACCTGGATCAGTCCTGGTTCAGTCCGTATGCGGTTCAGAAGTTTGACATTTTCATTTTCTTATTTTTGATTTTATATTGAAAAACAAACGAACGACGCACAGAGTCTGGAGACACGAGTTCAGACTGTGGCACCTTTTTAAAAAGTTCAGACCAACACCGAGTCTCTAAACTTCAAATAAAATCTGTATTTTATGAAAACCTTTGGACAAAATGAGTTTAAAAAAAAGAAGTTTTGTGTTCTAGTTCTGCTCTTTGACCTAAATTATTGTTCCTGTAGCATTAAACAAAGATTAAAAAATAAGCTTTGACCTGAAAATAAAAACCAAAATGTAGAAGTTGAAAAAAAACCTAATAAAAGTGAAGTGTTGACATTTTTAAATCTCCATAAAATTCCACTAAAACCAGTTGAGATTCAAAGAGATTTGTGTTTGAGTTTCAGGACCAAACCTGGAGGTGTTTTTGTGTTTTTCCGCTCTCTGTATTTTCAAACGGTTTTGTCATTTTAACCTCTGATCTGAACAAATAAAATCCTAATGATCTGAAATGTGTTTGTCTTTCACTAAATGCTGTTGCTGAATTTAATGCACATTTTGTTAGTTTTTTACACATGTTCATTTCATTTTCAGGTCTCTGCAGTGATATTTAAGCCCGAGCGCCGTAAGCTGGTGAAGGGTCTATTAGTGTCACTAAACGATGCTCCTAGTGGGCGGGAGGAGAAACGACGTGACGTGACTCGCCCGTAGTGACCAGGGACCCTCACCAAGATGTAACAATGCACCGGAACTTTCAGAAAATCTATAGTTTGATAGCTAAAAAAAAAAAAGTCAGTTCTTGTCCCTTTTACCATGACTCAAGTGCACTTAAAACTGTCAGTATTGTATAAATGTCTCAATAACACTCTGCCTTTTTGGGAAGCACCATCATTTTGTCTTGTTTTATTTGGCACTGTTTATTTCATCTTCTAGAGAGAATCTAGTTTCTGATCCGACTTCATGTATTTTGATCATATTGTGCATAAATCGTGGCAGCCTACTACTCAACAGTTTTCGGTGTTACAACAGCTTTAAAACTCATTGTATTTTTCACTATTGCACAGAAATTTACTAATAATAAATACGATAATTTATCTTTTTTGATTCGTTGATCTGGTAAAATAATAGAAATACACACTTTACTGTTTGGAACTGATCCTTGTGAGGCCCCAATATTCTAATTATAATTATAGGAATACACACAGTATTGTTTGGGATATATCCTTGTGGGGACCCTGCATACACAGTTTTCCAAAATGTCCCACACACGACGCACACTTTCTCATGAAATTTGATCTCCAGGGGACTTTTTCAAATTTTGAAAATAAAAAGTTGACAAGGCATATTAGAGTAATGTTTTACAGTGATTCAGGTGACACATACACACACACATACACATACACACATACGCACATTTTACAGTGTCCAGTTAAAAACAATTAAAATCATTTATGAAGCCAACTTCACTCTGCAGGGTATTTAAACTTCAGTGAGTTCATTCCAGTTAGACACGGTCATTATTTGGTGTTACATTACAATAGTATTTATTATTATGTTTAAAAAATATATTTTGTCTTCTTGTGCTGTAGAAGCTTTATCTGAAATGTTTCACACATCACACTCAGACGAGGCCAATATCCCACATGGGACACACAAAAAGGAAAACTACAGGGAAAAAATTAACAAAAACAAAAGAAAAACAACCAAAAACACAACATCAGTGCAATAATAAAACCACACACTAAACTCCAACAACTCCTGCTTCACCCCAAAGACACAATCCAACCAGAGCAAGTGCAGGCGGCGTCAGGGCTAAAACACTGTTGTTGTGTCCTTAGGCAAGGCACTTCACCCACATTGCCTTGTATGAAAGTGGAGCGAGTGTGAGTGATGTTGATGGTGGTGGGAGGGGCCGATGGTGCAGATTGGCAGCCTCACTTCTGTCAGTCTGCCCCAGGGCGGCTGTGACAGTAATAGTTTACCACCACAGTGTGGAGTGAGTGAATAATGCACCAAACTGTAAAGCGAATCTGAGCATCTGGAAAAATGCTGCATAAGACTAATGCATTATTATTATAGCATCGCCATGGAAACCACATACACTCTCCACCTGAAAAGTTACACAGTGCACCTTTAAAGAGTCTTTCACTGAGGGTTTTTGACTTTAGTCTGATCGATCTGTCAAATCTGTCAAACTGACCACACCTGAACAACTGATAAGAGACACGTCACACAGACACACCTCTGAGGAAGGTGAAGTGTTACTGCCCAAACATGTAAACAGGGAAATAAACTATTTAGCTTTTTCCAAACGTGTCTTATTAGAAGAAAACACAAACTTTAAGTATTTATTATTATAGTTTTTACTGTATGGAAACTGGTGTCCAGCCTTTTCCATTATAACAGAATCAAGTCTGATTTGAAATCATTTGAAATGTTAATGTTTGTGTCTTTAGTTTGTCTCATAAATGTCCCTCATATCAGAACTTTACAGGACGTGGTGATCGTGCGTTTATCTACAGACTGACAGAATCTGATCATCTGAACTGCAGCTATAACCGACCCCTCCTCCTTTCCACCACAACATGTGACCTGCACCAGGAAATAAAGATAAAAAAACATCCCAGACCTCCTCACTGAACCTGTTTAATTACATTCTGTTCCAGTTTGATTATCTCCAAATCTCAGGTGAAGGGTTTGGCCCAAAAACTCCACTTGTGTTTGACTTTAGAACTAGAAATATTCAGTCTGTTTATCAGAGAAACTCCACAAACTCTGTGCTTTATATTCACATGTCTGAAAGTCTGAAAGCTCTGCCTCCTTCTACAATCACTTCACTTTATTTTAGTCATTTAAGTGCAGCACCTGTTTTAAGGTTAAGATGCTCTTTATTATTATTCCTGCATTTGACCCGTTCTTCAGTGTGTCTGGGGCAGTGAGCGCCGCAGTTCTGCCCCCGTCTCTGTTCCTGGAGCAGGGCCTGGTCAGGACGACCTCACCTGGAGGATTTCACTTGTTTTGTTTTGTATTTTTCTAGTAGAAGTTTATTGTGTCATTTTGCAGCATTACAAAACAAAACTAAATAAAACACAGACTCCAAACCCCTGGATCATGACCGAAAGGGTTTAGGCTGAAGTAAAAAAGTACTGATAACACCAAACTCTGTTAAACAGAAATCCAAGAACGAAAAACAGCGTCTGAACGGAAAGTTTGAGTTTACAGTTTCACTTACGACTCACTGTAAATGAAAGAGACAAAATATTGTAATAATTGTAATCTTCAGGGCCTTTTAATGCAGGTCTGCAGCCAAATCAGTATAAGCTACATATATCAGTATAATATATGTAGTTTGGAGCAGTTCAGACTTGGGAGACAGAATTTTGAGTTAAATTGCAATGATTATTGTTTATTTACAGGAAATTAATACTGAATGCAATTTTAAAATTGTGATCAATCAATATGAGGGAAAAATCTGTGCAGTCACCCAGTTCTTCATTTACATTTGTCTCTATTTCATATTTATATTTAACTGTATAAAGTACATTTACATTTGTATATTATCAGTCTGTTTGGCAGCACAATTACTGTTATATTTGAATTCTGGTGATATTATTAAATGTTTATTTTAGTTTGTTTAGTCTGATCATATTTACTTTATATTAAAATGTTGTGTGCTGTGAAAAATGTGATGTTTGAACTATTTAATATACATTTTTCTGCAACTTTGTGCATTATGTAACACTATTTAAGGTGATTCTTTATGGCACCAGTTGATAATTCTTCATGTATGTTGTGTTAATTAAAGATCATTAAAAGTAAACGTTGTCTGATTGTGGTTTTGTTGATTCTCTGACAGACTCACAAAATAGATGCACCGTGAACAGGAAGAAAACCTTTTAATGAAAACAGCCAAACAACAAACTGCTGGAATCAGTGTCTTTCCTCATAACTTCAACAAAGTAAAATTCATTTTGCAGAACAACAAAATATATTCACAGGCTTTTCAATATCAGACTTGAATCTTTGTAGTTATAGGAGCCTGAATGTTTTAAATAATACAGATAATGATAAAAGTCGAGTTCATAATATAAAAATGTAAGTTCTATGTAGGTAATAAATAATGTGAGTGTGGTTCATAGATATAAAATGATTAAACAAATACTGATTTTTATTTCATTTTTCTCACAATGTGGTATGACATTTAGCTCTTACTGACTCAGTTTTAACACAATAAAGAAAAAAAAAAAGAAAAAACTACTGTGCTTATGATTACAGAGAAGTGAGAAGAATGTGACATATTTATGTAATATCAGTTTTCTATATGAGGATGATCTTGATCAGAAAAACAGGCAGTGGAAAGAGCCTGTCCTTACTTCAGCCCAGTCCTTTTCAGTTGCAGCCAGTAAACATAGAAAAAAAGTATTGATTTTTTAATGTGAAGAACCAAAAATAAACTTAACTCATTCATTCTTGGAGTTGAGTTTTACACAAAGCTCAAACATCAGTGACCAGAGTGTGTCAGAAATCAGAGGCTGCGACAGACGGTGGACACTGTGTGGTGGACACTGTGTGGTGGACACTGTGTGGTGGACACTGTGTGGACACTGTGTGGACACTGTGTGGACACTGTGTGGACACTGTGTGGTGGACACTGTGTGGTGGACACTGTGTGGTGGACACTGTGTGGACACTGTGTGGACACTGTGTGGTGGACACTGTGTGGTGGACACTGTGTGGACACTGTGTGTCACTCCAGGTCTGTTTGACTCGACCACATCATGTCCGGTCCCTGTACGACCGGAGCAGGAGCTGTGTTCATTGCTGCAGTAAGTCAGACCTGTTCCTGGTGCATGTTGGAGTCTGTCAGGGCCGCACCTGTCACCGGTTCTGATCATTGTTTTTATGGACTGAATTTCTCGGTGCAGTCAGGGACTGGAGGGGCCAGTCTGGGGACCACAGGATCATTTCTGCTGTTTGTAGATGATGTTGTCCTGTTGTCTTCATCAGACCAGGACCTGCAGCTCTGGGGCAGTTTGACCCGAGTGTGAAGCGTCTGGGGTGAAGATCGGCTCCTCCAAGTCCGAGGTCGAGGTTCTTGACTGGAAAAAGGCGTCTCGTCGTCTCCGGGCGAGTGGAGAGTCTCTGCCTCCAGTGGAGGAGTTCAAGTCTGTCAGGGTCTTGTTCTGGAGTGAGGGGAGGACGGAGCGTGAGATTGACAGGTGGACAGGTGCAGCGTGAGATTGACAGGTGGACAGGTGCAGTGTGAGATTGACAGGTGGACAGGTGGACAGGTGCAGCGTGAGATTGACAGGTGGACAGGTGCAGTGTGAGATTGACAGGTGGACAGGTGGACAGGTGCAGCGTGAGATTGACAGGTGGACAGGTGCAGCGTGAGATTGACAGGTGGACAGGTGCAGCGTGAGATTGACAGGTGGACAGGTGCAGTGTGAGATTGACAGGTGGACAGGTGCAGTGTGAGATTGACAGGTGGACAGGTGGACAGGTGCAGCGTGAGATTGACAGGTGGACAGGTGCAGTGTGAGATTGACAGGTGGACAGGTGCAGTGTGAGATTGACAGGTGGACAGGTGCAGTGTGAGATTGACAGGTGGACAGGTGGACAGGTGCAGCGTGAGATTGACAGGTGGACAG